GAATGAAAAACATCTTGTATGTATAGGATCTCTGCTTGAACTGGTTGATTCATTGGATTATGGGTGTGCTTGGTTGATGACATGGAGTTGTGTTTAGAAGCAAGTTTTGGGTCGTTCATGCAGAATTGGAGGACATCTTCTGTAGTATAGGAATTTTTTTAAAATAATGGCTCCTTAGGAGCGGACTTGCTAGTTGTTACACCTTCTGGAGGGATGATCATTACTGAGTAAGTGGCTGCTCTTATGTCTTCCATTAGAACCTTAATCTATTTCTTTCACAAGATAACCTCTTTCTTGTGTCCAAAATCTTCTGTCGGACAGCTATACGAGTTAGTTTAATTAATTGTCTTTTGTCAAATAATTCATAAATCGGACGCATTTTACATAAACAGGGAAAAATATTTGATTATAGATATATCAAACTAATTATAACTACTCATCTTTTGCATATCTGCGGTATGTTTTACTAAATGTTTTATGGTCCCTGTTATGGAGCAGGTCTCTCTTCTCCTTCTATGTTTCTTATTATTTTATTCAGATATCAATCTTCATCCTTTTACAGGGGTGTTTTGTCTTCTATGTAATGAAATTGGTCGAGAAAACTCATTGAGTTTATGCTAGTGAACGCTAATGTGCATCTATAACTGGGAGGATCTCCTCATTTGAAACTTCTTATATGTTTTTCCTATGTAACTTCTGCTGTTATGCGAGCAATATATCCAGCTTGATGTATTTGTCTTCTTGACTTAGTTATCTTTATTTAGCAGTCCTAGATTGGCATAATTTAGTCATTAATTGGGGATCAGTGTTCACTACTGCTTGTAAGCAGCTTTGAGGGTTTTATATGGCTTTGAGAGTATTTGTGATTGCTTATTTACTACTTGTAAGTGATTTGAGCACCCTACTCTATAGGCGCACGTAAACATCTAACCATCTTCATGTTTGGCATAATTTCTCAAAAAATGACTTTAGGAACTTAGAAAATAAGCACTCAGTTCCTGACTTTGTAGTTTTTTTCAAAAAACATTAATAAATTTTCTCAACTATTCTTTTGGTATCTTCTTAGAAGTTGAGGTTATACATACTAATGTGTTATGAAATATTTATGACGGATATATATTTTTATTAAAATTTTATCAAAAAATAATTATTTATTTTTTCAATCAGCACTCTATCCAATTGCGTATTTATTTAATAGATAAGAATTTAGTTGCTTTAAGTGGGTAAATTACCTTATTGTTTTAAACACATTATTTTTTCCTGCAGTCCCAATATTCTCTTTGTAAAGACGAGTTGGGATGTGTATTCACAGGTTTTTTCAGGCTCATCAATTGAGAGTCTTCTCTAGCTGCTTCTGTTTCATTTTGAATGATGTACTCATATTGGTCATTACAATGGTAAATATTTTGAAGTAATCGTTCTTAGTTTGTAAAGATAGAAATGTTCTTAGGTGCCTGGAAATTATGGGATTCTTAGCAATACGGTGCTACTAATGGTTTTTGATCCTGCTTGCAGGTTTAGCCACTTCCTGTACATCGGAACTTATTATGATTCTTGAAGTTTCATATTACTGATTCATTTTTCCTGTGTTTCCACAGGGAGGAGTAGCTGGTTACGTTAGTTGTACTGAGACCTACAGGGAGGAGCAAGGGAACTTATTATGATTCTTAGATTTCTTGCACATAAGAGCATAAACGGATGTTTATTGGGAAGTACCCCCATCTTGTTTCATAAATTGAGTTATATGTTCCCTTGTTTGTTCATGCCATATTTATATGTCACTACCAGATTCTTATTTGGTGAAATGTTTAGATCCGATGGAAGTCGAGCAGTCTTCTATTGAGTGGGGTGGAAAATATATGTACCCAGAATTTTGGGTTGCCTTCCTTATAAAGTCGCATTATGAGCTTCCTGTCATATTTTCATTGAACATAGGCATGCAGGTTTATGCACACTTAGGGATACTGATTCAATAATTTTTGTTGTGTAATAATTCAGTATTTCAGAAAATTTCTTTACAGAGAGAATCCCTTATTTCGATGTAGCATTATTGAGCAGAAACAGAGCAGTGATGAGCAGGATCTAATTCCATATGGCCCAGTGTTGGACAACAACATTGCAAAATGGGTGTTGAGATAGTAATACCTACCATTCCATCTCTGCACTGCACCTATACTGTTACTATCAGGTATTCTGCCCTCTTTTCCATTTGCATTTCAGCTGCTCTCTGATATCCATCACAATCCCACCTAACTCACCTGTATTTCTGTCCTCCTCCCCTCATATGTATATATAGTCTTGGGCCTTTCAATAATCGAACTTTTAAGGTTTGGTAGTTGACACAATTATTTTCCAGCTCTGTGCCTTGTCTCCTTTCAAGGGAGATTGATTAGCTACAGAGAATAAGTAGCTTTGGCCAAATATTTTAACTTTCCACTTTTTCTTGCACCAACACCAACCACCATTCCGATTGAGGGAGAAAAACCTTTGTTATCTACGGTGTCGTTTCTTTCCTAATTATTGCTTCTTTCGCCTTCGAGGCTGTAGATAGAAACAATCTACTGACTAAAATTATAGATGTGTTACATTTTCTGTCAATGAGTAAAAACGAGTAGGAAGCACATCAAGGAAGCTAAAGTCTTTTTAGAGTAAATTACAAGGGATGCTTCAGTTTTGACTCCTTTTACAATATAAATTCAGTTTCGAAAAAAAAGTATAATCCATTTCGTATGTTTTGATTAAATATTTTATAATTCAATCAGATATTTATAATTGTTAGGTAAAGAAAACTATATATTTTTTTTTTAACCAAAAAACCATGCAATAAACTTATACTAAAAGGAAATATTTACTTAAAACTAAAATTACTAATTGTACGGATTCAAATTTAATTAAGAAATAAGACACTTTATTATCGTTGCCATCTGGTAATTGTTGAAGTACATGTTAAAGTCTAATATCTTAAAATGATGTAATAGGTAAGAGTTTTACAGGCCGACAAAAGTTAAACCTTTTGTTGTGAATAATGGATGTCTTTTGTTAAGGCTGGACTTGAGATTTTGTACTGTTAAAGCATCAATCCATATGATCTTCTAACTACCCGAACATATGTTTAGCGTTTAAAACGACAGTAATTCACAACCTTGATCTGAACACAAGCATCAATCCGTATTGAAAATTTGAAATGACTTGGAAATATAATTTCCCTAGACAAGTATTTCGATTAATGCGTTTATTTAAAGATCCCATCTGAAAGTCGTTCGTATTGGGGACACAGGGGAAGCAGAAGGTTGAATTTCAATTCAATTCAAAGTTTTCAAACCTCATCTACCTCGACAATTTCCTTTAATACCTGGCTTATGGGTCTTCTTGCCACCTCTTCCGTCTGCTACTAAACCTTCGCCTCGTGTCGGTGACTCCCAAAACAAAATCCCTCCTCTCTTTCTCCAATAAATATCTCTAATGCGTTGCTACTCTCGTGTCCAAGGTTCAAACCTTTTTCCACGGAAACCCATAAATAATCCACAGGAAAGCAAAAGATAAAAAGGGTATTAAAATCTGCCTTTATCACATCTCATTATTGACCTTTCTTTGTTTGTTTCACCGTAAGAGCGTTTTACCCAACTATTCTTCTCAACCCATTTTCATTCCTTCACCCCAATTAGGTCGAGTGCAAATTACTGTATTTTCTTTAATGGGTTTCACTTTTGGGGAAAAACCCATATCTGTCCTCATTCCTTAGCTCTCTCCCGCTGTTTTTACTCTCGGTATTTTGTTCCTATTGTGGTTGGGTAGATAGCAATTGATGTCTGCGGGTAAGTCGGTGGATAGCGCTAAAGTTTTATCTTTCTCTGTCTTTCTCCCTCTATTCCTCTCTATTTCTCTGTGTGTCTGTGTTTGTGTCTGTCTTTCTCTCTCTTAGACGCCTGGCTTTCTTGCGGATAAACCGGTGACTCTTTTGTATAATCCAAATCCGAAGAAAGGAAAGCAGGAACTTCGAAGAAAAGTCTGTCTTCTTTTTTCTTCGGTATGTATTTTCTTAAATCCCCCTCCCCAACAATCCATTTGTTTTCTTTGCTCGTGCTGGCGTCGTTTACAGGGCAGGTGGTTAAAATCTGATTTTACCCATTTTTGGTAGCTTCAGTTTTAGTGGAGGTACCTGCTTTGGTTCCCTCCTTCTCACACGCTGAAAATTCTTCAGAGAAGGATTTTCTTTTGGCTTTCCTTTGTAATGTTTATTTAGAAACCAAGCCTAGATTTAGACTGGTCTTTTTCATTTTTGGTGGGTATTCTTTTTGCTGTTTCTGTTTAGTATTTGCATGCGGTAAGTGGGCTTCTGCTCTTTCTCTCTGTCTCTTTTTCTCTCTCTCCGTTTTCTTGAGCATGATTTCTTGAATACTTAAAATACTCTTTTTCTCGTACTTCTTTTTCTTTGTGATATTTCTTCTTTCCTTCACTTAAATCGTAAGTACTGACCTCCCCAAGCATATTTCTCTCTAGTTTTGTTGGATCTACAATGCCCTTTATTATGTCTGTTTTCCTAGATTATACCTTATTCTTCTGCTTAATTTTCCAACAACAATTTTTGGCCCTCGCTTGCTTTGTTATTCTGAGCGAGAGAAATTTCTTTTCTTTTTCTTGTTTCTTTTTCTTTTATGGGGAAATTAGGTCTTGCATTGTTAACATCTAATTGTACCCCTAAACTGCAGTCTAATGTATATTTTTATGGCTCTTGTTCTGGCATCATCATTTTCTTACTCCATCTGTAAGAGATCATTGATAAATCTTACCATTTAGCTGCGAAATGCTGTTATCTGTAATGGGTATGTTTATATATATATATTCGACTCTATGCGATGCTTGAGAAGAGAATGACTGTTCACTATATGTTTGTAAATTGCAGAATTGATGGAAGATGGAAGTGATTTTCGGCGGTGGGATGATTTGATTCCTGATGCCTTGGGGTTAATCTTTAGGCATTTAAGTCTGGAAGAGGTCTTGACAGTTGTTCCCAGGGTTTGTAAGTCATGGAACAAAGCTGTGAAAGGACCTTATTGCTGGCAAGAGATAGACATTGAGAGTTGGAGTAATTGCTGTGCTCCCGAGCACCTTGATAGGATGCTTCAAATGCTTATCACGAGAAGTTCTGGCTCCCTGCGCAAGCTCTCTGTTTCTGGCCTGCAAAATGACTCAATTTTCTCTTTCATCACCCAACAGTAAGCTCCAGTTTTCGCAGTTTGAGGACTATTAGTTTCAGTTATATTTATTAATGGTTCCTAATTTGCAGCTTATCTAATTTTTAGCCTTATGATAATCAACCCATTAATTGGATTAACCAATATGTCTACTTTTAGTACTGTTTTCCGTTTGAACTACGTTAATTATCAGCTAAGTTGTCAATCTTAACAAATTGGTCTTATGTGCTTGTGAAATGAGTTGATTAGATTAAGGCTATAGTTGGAATCATTCTTAAAATTTTATGGAATTTATTGCAAATTCATTCGTAGTTAAGATGGTAATTAACCTCACGTGGGATTCAGATGGAACTTGAACAACTATCCAAATTTGATATAGGTAATTAAGGCTATGGTTGGAATCAATCTTAAAAATTTTATAGAACTTATTTGCAAATTCTTATTTAGGTAAGAAGATGGTAATTAAGCCCACATGGAGTTTGAGCGGAACTTGAACAACTATCCAAATTTGATACAGGATTCCATTTAACTTTGATTTTTTTATCATTTCCTAGTAAAACTAGATGTGCTCGTAAGTGTGAATTTGTAGACAAGTTTTACATAATTTGTGCATTCGTTCAAAATATAACCCAAGTTTTTGTTGATAATAGTCAACCTTCAAGATTTTTCTACGAGGTATTTGTTCAATCATGAAAAGGTTGCTAATGTCAAGTTTCTTTTGTTCCCAAATCCTGCGTTTGCAAAGTGCTGGTTCCCTACAGGCACTGAGTTTACCAAGAAGTGAAATCAGTGATTCGATTGTGGAACAAACTGCAGGGAGGCTTTCTACTGTCACATACTTGGATTTGAGCTACTGTTGTAAAATTGGCCCGTGTGCATTGGAGACTATTGGAAAGCATTGTAAATTGCTTGTTGAGCTCTGTCGGAACATGCATCCGTTAGACACAGCTGGAAAGTCAACACAAGATGATGAGGCTCATGCTATTGCCAACTCAATGCCCAAGCTGAAGCGCCTTGAGGTAGCCTACCAGCGTATCAGCACTGAAGGTGTCCTGAAGATCCTCTCAAGTTGTCCAGAGCTCGAATTTCTCGAATTGAGAGGCTGCTGGGATGTGAAACTTGATGACAAGTTTCTGAATGAAAAGTTCCCAAAACTGAAGGTGTTGGGTCCCCTTGTCAAGGGCTATTATGAAATGATAGATTGGGATGATTGCTCAGAATATTACTCGGACAGTTCTGATTACCCAGCATGGGCATTTCTAGCTGAGGAAATGGGAGAAGAAGGAGATTTTGAGAACGAAGAGTTCTGGGATGATGAAGGGAGGATTGGTGATCTTGAGTTTAGGTTTTTTGAAGGACTTGAAGATGCAGGGTTTTTCGGTTGGCCTCCATCTCCATAAGTAGGTTCTGTTTCTCCTAATTCTAGCAAACTTGTGTTTCTACTCTAAAAACTTGTGGTGGATATATAATCCTATAGATATGATGAGCGTGGATATGAATGAACTCACCTGCTTTTGTGTCTCTTCTCCTCATTTTATCTAATCTTGTCTGTCGGCCATAAGCTTACATTTCAATTTACAGGCTTTCCAATAAGAAATAACTCCTAATTCTTCAATCTAGACTGCTAGAAGCACCAAGTTGGAAGAAGGGAAAAGGAAAAAGAAATGCAGATATTCTTGCAAAGAGTATAACAGAAGTAGTAAAGAGTTGCACCTTTTGGGAAATTTACTGTTAACTGATCAGAAAATAAAAACATCAAATCAAGCCAATTTAGATATTTGTATTCTAGATTAAGGTTGCTAAGTTTAAATTTTAAAAATTTAATAAAATATCAAATAATCCAAATCTTGTTGTTGGCAGAGGGGAATGGCCCACGTTGATAGATGGGGGGTCAGGGTCGTAGTTGACAATTGGCAGCCACTGACGTTGCAATTTATAGTCATCTCCATTAATAAAAATGTCTGTGTCTCAAAACCTTTCCGAATCCGAATAGTGTGAAATGATGCCGTTTTGTTCTTACTTGAAACTCTCCCATTCAAAAAGAGAATCAATCATTTACTCCTTCAAGCTTCCTTCTTTTCCCTGTTTACTCGTCTTTAACTACTACCCTGCATCCTGCAGCTCTAGTTTTGTGAATGTTACCTCAAATGTCCGCTTCCACCAAAACGACCACCGTTTTATGCCACAAACAGAAAATGCAAACAACGCAGCACTGCCCTCAAAATGTTCTATTTGTCTACTTCTTTTTACACAGAAGTATTAATGTTTAATAGAATTTCATTAGACTAATAAAATAGTTGTAAATCATATATATATATATATATATAAATTGCATTGCATTACTTGCAATTCTAATTACCAGTCATGCCGCAGCAGCTTCAGTAATGGGCCTTGTGGGATGCTCCAAATGGGAATCTCGCTCGCGCGCATATTTTTGTTTTGATCGTGTCAGTTACATGAGTCGTGTGATTTATGCCTTGGATCTTAGTGCTCTATCTACCCTTGTTTCATATACCCACATCGATACTATAATTGTTGTAACATATATATCTACGCATACAAATGTTAAAATATTTTTTATAAAATTTAAACTCATAATTTATATAACACACTAAAATTTTAACTATTAAATTATTATATTATTTGTATCAAAATTTGAATTTATAATAGTTGGTTAGTTGGAAAAGTAAGTCTTTTTAGAATAATTTTGAACATATATTTTTCGTGTCAAATTAATATATTTAATATTTTTTTGTTACCTATTGAGCTGGTAATTTAAAAAAAAAAAAAAAAACCTAAATTATTAAAATAAGATTAAAACTCTTTAAATTTAATAGTTGGTAAGATTTTGGTAATAAAAAATCTGTCCCTTGTAATCTTGAAATTTCTCTCTCTCTTTTACACGATTTCCTAGTTGCACTACCATGTTCAGGGAAGGGAATCCGTTTTCAACTTTTCAAACTCGGGGCTGTTTGGGAGATTCACTTTTACTGCAGTTAAATAAATAATTACCGTGTGGTGCGGGGTCTCCATTACTATATTTTACACACTCAACTCAACTGAGATATTCCCATCAATTTTTATTCGTTCCGTACTTAAAATTCAAATATGGTCCCCACATTTCAATTTCTGTATCCACGTGCACCGTAACCCAGGCTAACGATTTACCAGACGGATCGAACCAATTAGTCGGAGACGTTTCTACTCACGGTAACGGCAACGGAAAATAAAATAACTACTGTGCTCATAAATATCGAGAAAAACCGTGGCAAATTAATTAAAAATTAAAAATGATCCGGATTCATTTGTTTAATGGGCCTATTAGACCATAATTAATTGCACTCCAATTTCTGCGTCGGACTGGTTTGTTAGATTAAAATATGCAACTCGTGCTGATATGCCAAATGACACGTGTCGCTTAAGTGAGTTAGGGGTAAGACTAAAGTGAGCGGGTTGTTAAAGTGCGATAGATTAGGTTAGGTTGTTCTCAAACCTGAATAAGGGCTTATTTGTAATTTTACATAATCATTTGCTGTCTTTGATAACAATTAACCACCTTCTCCAATCAATATCAAAATAAATTTCTTAGGTTGGTAGGTCATGACCAAAAAAAGATTTAAGTAATATTTATATTATTAATTATAGGTTGGTGAAATTTACAAGGCATTATTCTTATGATATTAACAAAAATTAAATTTAAAATAAAATAATTCTCAATTTAAAGCTTTTCTTTTTCAACCAAAAAAAACAAAATTATCATACTAATAAAACATAATCTTTTTTTCAGCAAATTTATCTACACGGTTTTTCAAAAAAGACATGCGATTATTTTTACTGGTAGAATGTATACCAACTAAATCACATGTTTTAAATTCATACCAGTCAAATAATCACATGTCTTAAATTCGTACCAACAAAAAAAAAAATCCCTTTACTTTTTTGTGAAGTATTGTATTTATAGTTTTACTTGTTAAATAATAATAATAAAAAATGCGTAACTTAAATTAGACCCAAAAAAAATTAATTTTTAAGTTAAATTATTATTTATATTAAGGTTTACGTTATAATTGATTTGTATTTTTATTAAGTATAATTAAATTTAAACTAAATTAAATATTTATATATTTATTATTGTATTTATTTTGCTATTGCAATAAATATTAATGGATATTTATGAATTTATTTTTGAATATTTGTTTTATTAAAATTATATTATTTATAGTATTGATTATTCAATACAATAAATAATATTATTTTAATAAATAATTATACAATTACAGTTCTTGTGAGTTAATTATTATATATTTATTATTTACATAACTTGTTACACGAGAGTTATGAGCGAGGACTTAGTTTTTGCATCGAAATGCATTTATTGATTTTTATTACATATTTAGTTTATATTGTAACTATTATCGTTGTTTTTTTAATATACTAAATTACTTAATTAAATTTTTATGATGAGATATCAATAGAAATCTCTAATATTTTTAATTTAATAATTCATATTTAAAATTGAACACACTATTTTTATGCACCAAGTTTATACCTTAAGTGTAGTTAATGTATTTGGCAGCTCCCTATTCGGTGTTATGCATGGTTCCTCAATAATTTATAATTTATAATTTAATAAAAAAATTATATTAAATAGATATGCTAATAAATGTTACAATTTCATTCAAAACAAAAAAAATTATAATATTACAGTTGCTTATGCTTATTTTAACTAATTGATATTTTAATGTATTAATTTCAATAATTATTGTTATTTATATTTTTTTTATAGTTTAGTCTAATAAGAATATGATTCATTATTTTATGTATTAGTATAAAATATTAGTACCGTCACATTTTTTAAATAAAAAAAATTCCAAACTTATTGATATTGATTTACTTTTATTTATATTATACAATGAATTGCTTCTGTTTTTAATAATTTTCAATTATTCGATCAATTTAAATGAGCAGTAGTTTATAAATCTGTTTTAACCAACTTTTTAAATAAATATTATAATTTATTATAATGATTATAATAAAAAAATTAATATCTACACATTAATGTTTTGGAAACCATATATGCAAATAAAATAACGGAGGTACGGTAGAAATTAGAAAAGCTGAAAAGAAAAGTTGAATTCGGCTCGGGTAATGAGCTCAGATCGCACGAGCGCCATAAGTTGGTGAAGAACGTGTAATCGGAAGCTTAGGACTTATCCATCCCCAAAATTCCTAAAATGCCCTCAAAATATTAATTTACCGTAAATACCCTTCTTTCTCAACTACCCCCAACTCCGAACCCCGTCCTTACCAGACACCAGACCAACCTCGTTGCCTTCCATCACGCAGGCTTTCTCTTCTCTTTCGATTTTTTTCTCCTTATAAAAATCTCGTCTTTCTGCATCTCCCTCCAGCTACCACCGAAATTTTCAATTGAATTTCACGCTGGAGGTAACTGATTAATCAAGGTACACTGAAAATGGCTCTTACCAACTCATGCATTCTGCCCAACAAGTCCTTGGTTCATCATCACCAGTCATCTATTCTCACCAAACGAAGACCGTCGATCCTCCCCATCTCTGCGGTCCATGCCGCCGAGCCTGCAAACAACCCCGTTGTCTCTGATAAACCGCAGAAGCAGCAGCAGCAGGTGTCTTCATCGTCTTCGGCCGCGACGAAAACTGCCACAGTAACAACAACGACGACGAAGACCGACAATGTGGTTAGGGGGAAATGGACCGTGGACAGCTGGAAATCGAAGAAGGCGCTGCAGCTTCCGGAATATCCGGATCAGGAGGAGCTGGAGTCGGTTCTCAAGACCCTCGAAAACTTCCCACCCATCGTGTTCGCCGGAGAAGCCAGGAGCTTGGAGGATCGTCTGGCTGAGGCCGCCATGGGCAACGCCTTCCTATTACAAGGTGGTGACTGTGCCGAGAGCTTCAAGGAGTTCAATGCCAATAACATCCGAGACACCTTCAGGATTCTCCTCCAGATGGGCGCCGTCTTGATGTTTGGTGGTCAAATGCCTGTTATCAAGGTCAGTTTTTATTTTCTAATTTTTTCAGCACTAGGCTTAATTCTGAAAAGTTTCATACTCGAAAGCTTGTGAGTGAATAATTGGGGACTTCTTATATTATGGGTTTAGGTGGGGAGAATGGCGGGTCAGTTTGCGAAACCGAGATCAGAGGCGTTCGAGGAGAAAAACGGAGTGAAATTGCCGAGTTACAGAGGGGACAATGTGAACGGAGACAGCTTCGACGCCAAGGCCAGAATTCCAGATCCTCAGAGGATGATTAGAGCCTACTGTCAATCTGCGGCTACTTTGAATCTCTTGAGAGCTTTTGCAACTGGAGGTTATGCGGCCATGCAGAGAGTTACCCAGTGGAATTTAGATTTCACCGAGCACAGTGAGCAGGGAGATAGGTATATCTCTACCAAACTTTCAGATTTTACCCTTATTCTGTTTTTCTGCTTTAATCTTAGTTATAGTGAATAGTGTCTTCAAGCTTGTTAAAGGTGGAGGCAAGAGAAAGTTTGTTTAATAGGAAATTCATTATTTGGTAATTTCATTTGTTTTTGCCATGTTTCCTGCTAATCTGGACTTTACTTTTAACCTTGTTATCATTCTTTTCAAATCTTCGTTCTAGCAGTCATTTATCGGAGTGAATTTCCTGGCAGGGATTGTATGGTCCAAAATTTCATTTTCCACCTCGAGTTGTTGGCTGGAAAATGTGACTTATGCCATTTAAGAGATCACCATCAACATCACTGGCAATTTGTGTTCTTTACAATTGTCCCATTTCGCCTGAAATTGTCTTCTTTATGGTTTTTTCAAAAGCTTTGTTTTTCTTTTTCTTTTTTCCCTCATGATTGGCCTTTTGAAAATGCGCGAGTTTAGAACCCAAAAAATATTTTGGTTCTTGTCTGACATCCTTCCATTCTAGATTTTCTTCAGTAACGGAATAATTGGAATTTACTTGCCTCTTTCGGTAGGGTCAATCTTGCTATTGATATATTTTTGGGATGTAATTGGAATTATATTTTTGATATAATTTAATACTTCGAGTTAAATTCATTTTTGGCATATAGTTGCTTCTCTTACGTGTTTGGCCGAATCTTCATGATTGAATATCATGCAGATCAGTTCATTGGCTATTGACCGTGAGATTGATTAAGTCCTTTGTCGTTTACCGCAGTATTTTAATTCATAACATGGCTCTCCTTACATTTGGCAGGTATCGGGAACTAGCTCATCGTGTTGATGAGGCTCTTGGATTCATGGCTGCTGCTGGTCTCACAGTTGACCATCCAATCATGACCACAACAGAGTTCTGGACATCTCATGAGTGCTTGCTCTTGCCATATGAGCAGGCACTCACCAGGCTAGACTCAACTTCTGGCCTTTACTATGACTGCTCTGCTCACATGCTTTGGGCAGGGGAGAGAACTAGACAGCTTGATGGCGCCCATGTTGAGTTCCTAAGAGGAGTTGCGAATCCCCTCGGCATTAAGGTAACTTGCACTTTTGCTTTGTTCTAATACGGTATACTTTTTGCAGCCATAGTCACTTGGACTGAGTAGTTGGAAACATAAATGTTAAGAATCCTTGTTCTGCTATAAGTTCAGGCAAAAGGGTTCCGAAGTCAGTCCAAGCTGGTTTTACTGGCAATAGCCTCAGCTTGTACTTATGCTTGCTTGCATTTGGATGTATACATAAAAAGGAACTTCTAAATAAACTGATACGGTGAAGTTTCCCTGCAGAACAAGTTGCTCGTTCTGCAACTTCCATCTAAAAATCTGAGTACTTGGACTATTGATTGTAAACTTTTAAAGCTGACCATAAACTGGCCTTTGTGCTGCAGGTAAGTGATAAGATGGATCCAAATGAACTAGTCAAGCTCATTGAGATTTTGAATCCTCAGAACAAAGCTGGAAGGATAACAATAATTACAAGAATGGGTGCTGAGAACATGAGGGTGAAACTTCCCCATCTAATTAGGGCAGTTCGCCGTGCTGGGCAAATTGTCACATGGGTTAGTGATCCTATGCATGGTAACACCATAAAGGCTCCCTGTGGTCTCAAGACCCGCCCCTTTGATGCCATCAGGGTATGATACTCATCACTTTTAATTTTTTAATGAATATCGGTGGGAGCCTTATCATATCCTGGAAACTAGAGAGATGAAATTACATAGTGGTTTTTATCCATATGAAGAAACAAGCAAAAGTATATTATGAATGGAGAAAAATATTGGTATTAAATCTTATCGAAACAAATTAAGCCATTTTACACATATTTGGTGTCTAAAAGCCTTCTATTATTTGTGGCTATAACTGAGTATTCTCATTTCATTTTTTATATTCACCTTTTACGAGTTTTCTAGTATCAGCTTTGGCAGTAAGCCAATTAATCTGTAACATTTCATAGTTTGTTATCAGTATAATCCCAATGGCTATTGATAATCCTCTACAAACTCAATGGTCGTGTTTGGAATAAGGAGAGATTTCCGAGCAAGATGAATCTTTTAGTGAGTTGGATGATTGAACATGAGACCATTTATTGATGGGTTAACAGTTCAACTATCTTGAGTCATGGCAATCTATTGCTTGAAAGAAATTTGGAAATATATTCTATTTTTATAGAATAGTTGGATGCTATATGTATGTGGTAGGTAGGAAATGTACAGCTGATAAAGTTGTTGATATTGGTGAACCAGTCAAAATAGGTATTTTAAGCATGAAATAATGCAAGTTAAATTAGAAATGTCTTCATTAGGTAGGTGGCTTGAGACATGTTTGGTTAGATTACATTTTGCTATGTATTAAAATATTAATTCTGGTGGGTTGCTTTTGAGTACCAAGCACTTTAGAAAGACAATTGAATGGGTCATAGATAGGCCTGCCTGCAGGACAGGTTGGATTATGAATTGCATCATCATGAGGCTTTACTTTCGATTTTGCAAGTTGCATACGTGTTCCCCACCATAGCAATCAGAAAGGCTGGCTGCTTTTGACATATTTTTCATTTGTAGATGTGGAAGAAAATTGTGCTCTGTACAATAACTTTCCTGTTTTCGGTTTGTGCAGGCGGAAGTAAGAGCATTCTTTGACGTGCATGAACAAGAAGGAAGCCACCCCGGAGGAGTCCATCTCGAGATGACAGGCCAGAATGTGACGGAATGCATTGGTGGTTCACGAACTGTAACTTTTGATGACTTGGGTTCTCGCTATCACACCCACTGTGATCCTAGGCTCAATGCATCACAGTCGCTTGAGCTTGCCTTCATCATTGCTGAACGCCTTCGAAAGAGGAGGATCGGATCACAGCATCGTGTAGCCTCTATCGGGCTGTAGAGTGGCTTCAAAACCACCAGCATATATGTTCTTTTTTCTCGTAACTTACCAGTGACTGTTTTAGTAATTTAGTTATGGGGATTTTCTCAAGTTAAATATTCTATCTACCGTGTATGGTGTGTGTGTGTATACTTGAAGAACGTGACTGTTTGAAGTTTAACTTGAAGCAACAAAGAATAAAGGATACACCATGAATGAGATACAAAATGGGTTGACCCCCGGTTTGAAATTTGATTGTGTACCTATCAATGGATGGCCTTAAAAAAGATGGTACTTATTTTATGTAATTGTGTGCAAAGAATTTGAAGAAATTCAAAGGTGAAAATTTATCGCCTGGACCAAAACTATGTTTGGCACGAGCCCAATTCACATTGTTTTCTTATTTTGGATTGAGTCTCCCTACTCAAATTTTCTTGGGAGTAACGAAAGAAGAGAGAAATTTTTTAACCCAGAAAATTAAGAGAAAAATCTTTTAAATTTTTTAATTTTGTATTTGATAAATTTATAAGACAAATTATTAAAGCAGTGAATGATTTGATTTATAATTTTTTTTAATAAAAATTAAATGTATTTTATGTTTTTATTTCAACAAGTTTTGAAGGAGAGAATGATGATGAAGTAAATTATCCGTACGTTCGCAGTAGTTATAACTTCTGAAAATGCATAATAAAATTTTGAAATTTTCAAATATTTTTATGGGTGAGAAAAATGTAGCCAAGGAAAAAAAAAAAAACACAAACGCGCTGCCGTTCTTGTCTTTAAAAAGAAAACAACGTGCCGTTATATTTCACGGACGTGTGGATTCTAAAACGACGAGGAATAAGGTGGCGTGGTAATGCCGCGCACGCGGTGAAAGAAACACGGCAACAGACAAAATCCGCGCTCCGTCAAAAGACTCAAGAACATTTGCGCATTCTGCAGCCTACCGGCTTGCCATTGCTTTCCAAGCAAATACTTCAAAGACCAAAGCCAGTGTCGCGTGACGTGGAGAGAGGAGCTCAAAGTTTCACGCGCGGCGATGGATAATTCTGATAAGTCTCCGGGGTTAGGGATTAGAGACCGCAGAGCAGACGCTCTTGGCGACCTCAAAGCCCTCCCGGATGAAATTCTGTGCGCTATTCTTGAATTTCTCAGTCCTCGTGATCTTGCTCGTCTCGCTTGTGTTAGCAGGTTCTAGTTATCTCTTAATTATTTTCAGGACATAGGCAAACCTTCCTTGTTTTTCGTAAATTATTTGGGTTTCATCTTTATTCAATGTAAAAAATTTGGGTTGTTGACGTTTTTTCTGCCTTTTCTTCATTCACAAGAATCCACCTTAATATGTCCATTCTTCGTTGTGTATTTCTGGCGAAAATGCGAGAAATACGATAGGAAACGTCGATTACTTGATAACGAAACCAAAGACGGTCTATTTATAATGGAACGGGGGTATTTTGTTTTATTAAATTGATCATGAAAGTGACGACATCCACTCGATAATTATCGCAATACTTGCCATGTAGTAAGAGTATGAGTCTATGAGACAGTAGTTGATTGTAAAAGAAAGGTAAATGAAAAAGAGAAGAAAGCAAAAGGAGATTCGTAATGACTTGCTCAAACTTTTGGTGTTAGAATTTTTTCTGAGCTGAAATTTACTGATTGCTGCATAGTTTACTTTAGCTGCAGGTAATTTGTTTTGTGTTTCTTATTGGATAGACACTAAGAATTGTTATTTGCTATTGGTTCCGTGCTAAACCTTGGGAAAATGATGAAGCCTGATTTTCAGTGACTAAAATGAAAAGGTCTCCTCGATAATGGGACCATGCGTATATGTTTTACACTATAAGATTGGGATCCATGATTTGTTCATTAGAGATAATCTTTTACATTTCAATTTTAAGAGCAGTTCAGCTTCCCCCCACCTGGGGTACTCCTTCGTTCAAGTCCTTTTAAGGTCTCTAATTTTCCCTTCTAATATGCAGTGTGATGTACATACTATGCAATGAAGAGCCTCTTTGGATGGGCATATCCCTTAAAAGAGTAAATGGCTCTTTTCAATACAAAGGATCCTGGAAGAAAACAATGCTGCATTTGTATGTTCCTGAAGTTCATAAAATAGAACTTTGCAGACTTCATCCTTTTTTCACATTTAACTGAAGCTAGATAATTTGCCTTTCACTGATTAGCTTTTCCCTGGGGGTTTGCAGGGAGCATTTGCTCGGTGAATATGAAGAACCTTTCAGAAAATCTCTGTGTTTTGATGGTAACAACTCTAATGCCAAATCTGATCCTTTTTATTCAATAACCTGTAATTTTCCAAGGTTTATCTTGTGATCTATAATATCTTAATTCTAACTTTAACTAATACAATTATAACGGCATATTTTAGTTTATTCAAGTAATCTGTTCGGCTTTTCTGCAGGATTCAATTCTCTATTCTTGTACAGAAGATTTTACAGGTGTCATACCACACTAGATACGTTTTCATTTGATGACGGAAATGTGGAGAAGAAAGAAATATCTTTGGAGGATTTTTCTCTGAACTATGATGGGAAAAAACCAGTATGGTCTAAATTATCCATTTTTGAAATCAAAATTTGAAGTTGGAAATGATATTTCCATTCCCTTCGAAATAACTATTTGTATATGCTTCCTTTTTCTCTGAGCTCAATCTACTTGTTCTTTATTTATACTACATTTGAGGCTCTCTCTCTAGCTGGGGTATATTTTGCTTCTTTACATTTGCATGAATTTCAGTTCGTAAGTTACTTTAATGACCTTCCTTTGTGTTTAGTTAACTTTTGTGCTTCTTTTTGAATGTGTTTCTTCCCTCAGTTGTTAGCCTTTCCTCTTTGCCAATGTAACTGCACTTTCTTCCACATTATTAACAGTTTGGTGCTGTTGCATGACAATTATGACCGTTCATTGTGACTTATCTCACAATCTTAACAGCTAAAGTGCAGAGAACTACCATGCCAGCTGTAAAATAAGTTACTAGCCTTAACCCTTGCCACATTCCAGCGCAAGCACAACAACTTCTCTATTCTTCTTGTTGCTTCTACTAGCCACAAGTGATCAAATTCTTGCCATAACATCTATGGCCTTGTCTTTCACTCTGATTACAACTTGAATTACGCATTGATATTCTTAAGTATTACCAAAGCAACCCTCTTTTAGTCCGTGTTTTCTTATTATCTTGCCAAGCAACCAAATTAAAAAGTGGATCCAATTCTTAAGATTCTTGTAAATTACGATGGTGTTTCGTGGATGCTTTAAGGTCTTTGTAACTCTTATGCCTCTTTGATGTGCTTATTGGTGGGATATACTGTCAAACAATGTACCAGGTTTTGCTCACTGGACTAGCTGATACTTGGTCTGCAAGGAATACGTGGACAATTGACCAGTTAGTGACAAAATATGGTGATATAGCATTTAAAATATCTCAGAGGAGTCCTGGAAAAATGAAAATGAAATTCAAGGATTATGTCAGTTACATGAATATTCAGCATGATGAGGATCCTCTCTATGTTTTTGATGACAAGGTATATTAATTGTATTACGTGTTTGTGGTGACAGGGTACTATTTATTTGTTAATCCAAAATGCTGTATTTCCTTTTACTTTCTTTATTATAGAGAAGTGATAGTTCATTAAGGAGACATTATTTATTGCATTAAATAATATTTCAATTTCTAGTTAGCAAAAGAAGTAATATTTCAATTTCTAAACTCGAACTATATGAATTCTTATATTCTAGTCATGCCATTTCATTTAAGAATAACTTTTTAAAATATTTCTTCATGGTGGAGACATAATTTGTACATTTATAAATGAGTTGGTTGACAAAGTTGAAATGGAGATATTCTCCTCCCAATACCTGCATATCTTCTCCAGTAAATTAATGTTGAAAGTATTTATGTAGTTTGGAGAAGTGGCACCAGACTTGTTGAAAGATTACAGTGTACCTCTTCTGTTTCAAGAAGACTTGTTTGATGTCTTGGACAGAGATAATCGGCCACCATTCAGATGGCTTATTATTGGACCAGAGAGATCTGGTGCCTCATGGCATGTTGATCCTGCACTTACTAGTGCCTGGAATACTCTTCTATGTGGCCGTAAAAGGTATGTTCCTTGAAAATAACATTTTATCGTTTTGTTGGCTCTAGACTATTGATGGAATCATGCTCACTCACTCTTTCTCTCTCTCTCTCTCTCTCTCTCTCTCTCCTCTTGGTACAAAAAATTGTATATGTTGTTAAATAACACTTTATAATATCATATAGAGCATCTAACTCAAATGGCTTAATGTTGTTATTATAGAGTTGATAATTCAAATTTGGGTCTTATCCTCTACTCCGTCTAAAAGAAACACTTTCCAAGAACAACTCAATCTATGTGGTCCTTTTCTTTAGAGAATTTGTGATGTAAGACAATTGACTTCATTGGAGAAAGATAGAGGAAAAGGGCGGATGAGAGAAACAAACAAGAGCGGAGGAAGACTAAGGTGGAGATGGTATAGGACAACATAGAATATCATAATTAAACTCTTCTATCCTAGGATTTTTTCATTCTGCAATACTTATATCTCTAAGAACAGGTTCCTCAGTAAACCTTGGGCTTTTCCCAAAAAAAAAATGAAAATTTTAAAAAGATTCAGCAATCAGCACCATCAAAAGCATGCTGATTTTATGAAAAGGTGCCCATCCTCTTCAGTTGTGTTTGATCAAATTCTCTGAGTTTTTAACTTCCTTTTTCTGTAAAAGCAACTGAACATATCTTCAAGTTTTGTTTGTGGCATGCACATATCATGTTTAAAGATACATATTATTTGTGTAGCATCAGACAGTTGGCTGGTTGAGATGTCAAGGTCTGAGATACCATCAAGAAGGAATAATCAATAATATGAAAAATTTCTGACAAATAGCTGGCAAAACTTTATATTGACAAACTGTGTGGAAAATTAAGTAGTCTGGCACATGAATGGTAAATTTGGGCTCATGTATGGTAAGTTGACATATTATTTTAGTGGTAAGTTGAAATTTGTGGATAATACTTCAATCCGGAGGTGGCTGAAATGTGTGGATCATACTGATTACCGACTCATTTATATATGCTTCATATTTTTATATTGCTCCATTATCATAAACAGAGTGATAGCATGTTAACTTTTCATAGGTGGGCATTGTATCCTCCTGGGAGAGTGCCGCTAGGCGTTACGGTAAATGTAAACGATGAAGATGGTGATGTCCATGTTGAGACTCCATCATCACTTCAGGTAGATCTTAGATGTCTTATTACTCGGTGTTTCATGTCTTAGATGCAGGAAATTATTAAGCTTTATGGAGTCCATCTTTCTCACGTGCAGTGGTGGCTAGACTTTTACCCGCTTCTTCCTGATGAAGACAAGCCAATCGAGCGTACACAACTACCTGGAGAGACTATTTTTGTTCCAAGTGGATGGTGGCACTGTGTCCTTAATCTGGAAACAACTATTGCTGTTACACAAAATTTTGTAAATCCAAAGAATTTTGAATTTGTATGCTTGGATATGGCTCCTGGTTATCGTCATAAAGGGGTTGTTCGGGCAGGATTGCTTGCTCTTGATGGAGATAGTCTAGAGGATATTGAAAGGGATACATTGTCCGATAAAAATAGTTTGAGTTACCCAGATCTAACAAGGAAAGAGAAGAGGGTCAGAATTCACGAAACTGGAGAGAACCAAAATCATGAAGGAACAGACAGGGTTTCTTCTAAGAGTTATGATCTGTGGAAACATGGGTTTTCATATGATATTGATTTCTTATCCACATTTCTGGACAGAGAAAGGGATCATTACAGTTCCCCGTGGAGCTCAGGGAACTGCATTGGGCAACGAGAGATGAGGCAATGGTTATCTAAGCTTTGGATTGCTAAACCAGCAATGAGGGAACTAATATGGAAGGTATCATTTGCTTGTTTACTTTTTCATTTTCATTATCAGGTTCTGGCAATCCAATCTACTAGAAAGAAATGTTTCTTTTCCCTTAGATGATTGGAAATGAGCGGACTTTATTAAGCACATAAAGCAGGAAATGCTTGCTCTTCTTTTTATCTTGTCTTTTTTCTTTTCTCCTGCACTCAGATTATCTTGGTAGCTAAAATGTAAGAAAGGCCTAGGCGTCTGTTTCAATGGCCATGTGCAATCTGGCATAAGTGTTGCCAGATTGATCACCCTGGTAGAGAGTGAATTAAATGCTCCTAACCAAGAGGTTCTAATTATATAATTGTTTACATCATGCAAAACAATCAGATTTTAAAGGCTTTAAGAAGTCCAATAATGCACCCTCTATTCGGGGTTAATTTGGTAAAAGTTTATCCAGGAAAGTCTATCTGGGACATGATTTGAGAAAAGTCTATGATTGTCCTCTCTCTTATATTGCTAAGTTATTGTGGTTTGCTTTGCTAGATCTTGACATGTTCTTATGTTATCTTTTTGATTTGTTCCTCTTATTGGCATTTCTTAGGGAGCTTGTCTTGCACTACATGCTGACAAATGGTTGGAATGCCTTACAAAAATTTGTGCCTTCCACAATTTGCCTTTTCCTTGTGATGATGAGAGGCTTCCTGTCGGTACTGGTAGCAATCCTGTAAGTTAATCATTTTCATTATGTCGGTTTAAATATTACAGTTCTTTTTCTTCAGAGTTGTCCACTTTTTAGTTGGTCTTATTTATTTCTTGTGGTCTGATTGCTATGTAACTACAAGTAAATAAAATAATCTCTTGTCATTGGAGTTCTATGGCCAAGTGAATGAAGGAAATCAATGTAAAAAACTGCTTCAAGGACAGTCTAACACATTTTTAAATGAGGGAATGATGAGAAATTGTTTGTATTTAAAGGACATGCTCGGCCACAAATCTAAGTGCAAACTGGTTTTCACCCTTTTTATTGATCCACACTTCAGATTTTAGTAATTGGTTGTTTCCCTTTTCCCTTTAGTTCCACTGAGGAAAATGTGATTGAGCAGGATTGAGTTCCTATACCAAGTGGAACTTAAGCTTTTAGAGCTGGTAGTTCTTATTGAGCCTTCTTTTGGTGACTTAGCAAGTAGTGAAATGTAGGCCTATTAGTATTAGTTCCTAGATTTAGTGCTTTTTGTCCCCATAAAAGCAGCCATTTATGTTTTTTTTAAGACAAATAGTGTTTTTAGTGATCAAATAGTCCATTTGTTGCCTATACATGGACTTAAATTCTGCACTTGGAAGTTTTGGTGGATACAGACTTCTCAAGACCCATGATCTCTTCACAGTAAGTGAGTTTTAATTTATATATAGGACTTATTACACTTGATATTTTGTTGTCTCCCAGTCTTTGGGGATGGACACAAGCTGAGCAAGGCGAATTCCTCAGTATTTGAACTTAATTCAGTTAAATACAATTAGTTGTTGTAGGATTCGGGGTTGGTTCAAATGACATATTAATTGATATGGGCTCAGTTTGACTCAGGCTTGATAAATAGTCAGTCCTATCGAGCCTGATTACAAATGTTTTATTTCAAGCTTGATTTTGGGGCTCGAATAAACTGAAAATAAGCTCGAATCAAAATGAATTATTTTTTATTTGTTATTTTAAAAATGGACATATATAACTAATATGTATATACAAAAACATATGACTGGGATAGCTTTAACATAAAACACTTCTTCGTGCTTTGAAATTCAGTATTTATGATCTTGAACTTGGCTCAATAACATAGAATAGCTTGAAAATAAGTCTGGTCATAGCGCAGACTGTCGGCAGACAGAACTGGCTTGATGCCGGTTCTAACTCCTAGACAAAGAAAAGTGTGGAAGCTCCTTGCTTCGGGGATATTCCTTATCAAGGAACAGGTACATCAGGATCATACTATCATCTAGACAAAAAGGGAAACGCTTGGATTTAACCTTTAAATGGAGCTAGCTCTTCTGTGGCGTGTACTTTAGTTGTCAGTTGATTTGGTGCTGCTGAAAGCTTAGCCATTAATGTATGATACATCCTTTAAGTTTATAAGCATTTAGTTTATAAGTCAGAAAGTCATTCCTAAAATAAGCTAATTTAACCAAATATTTTACCATAAAATTCCTTCCCAACTGATAAAACCTGCTTTCTGAGAGCCTGTAACCCAAAAAGAAAGTTAAATCCGAGTGGCTCCTAAAGTCTAATATAAAAGCTTTGGCTAGAAAGTCTGATAATTCCTTTTTATGATGAAAAGATTCAAATTCAACTTGTTAAAGACAATATTAATCAATTAATTAGTTTACCTTGGAAAAGTGAAGTTTGTTGTAGTTTTTTCTGAGTAATCTAGTTTTTTTTAATAGGTGTATCTCTTGGCCGATTGTGCAGTCAAAATTTTTGTGGAGGGAGGCCTGGAAACTGCACTTTATGGTTTAGGCGCTGAGGTACATTTGGATTTCTTTTTTCGACTCCTGAAAATTTTATATATACCTTAAAGGTATATATAATTTTTTTTTACATATTTTAATTTTATTTTGCGTGTTTACAGCTTGAGTTTTATGAACTTCTTTGTGAGGTCAGCTCCCCTCTGAAAAATCATATTCCTGATGTTTTGGCAAGTGGGATTATTTTCTTTGAAAATGAATCATACCACATTGTGCCTTGGGATGGAAAAGGACTGCCTTGTGTAATTGCTAAGTGCAATTTGGTTTCTGATGCATGGGTAGACAGTGAGTTCCCCTTCAATGTATGGAGCAAGAAACTCTTTGAGTATAGAAGATGTAGAATATCAACAAGTGAATCAGCCAGTTCAGCTAACTCAAGGATATGCCCGTATATTATAACGAAACGATGCAAAGGGAAGATATTTGCGCAGCTGTAAGTGTCTTAACTTGGTAGTTCTGTTTACTGAAAATATGGTTAAAGAGAGGTCAACCCATAAATAAGATTTCTGGTTTTATTACTTTAGCATCTAATTGTCTTTCCTTTTGCAGAAGAGATACATTGTCATTGGAAGATGCTCTTAACTTGGCTTCCTTTTTGGGAGAGCAGCTGCACAACCTTCATTTATTGCCATGTCCACCTCTCAACAATTTGAATTTCTTAGATGGTGTTCACAAAGTGAATTTGCCTCTAGTTAGTGATTGTCTGGAGGATGTCCCTCATAAGCCAAACGTTCCAGCAGAGTGGGAAATCTTTGTGAGAGTTCTTGGCAGGAGAAAGAAGGATGTCAAGAGCCGCTTGAATATGTGGTACATCTTTGTGCTTTTTAAGTAATTGTCAATTTTTAGGTGATTAGGATGCTGACCACAACTTCGGCAGCCCAAAATCATTGTTTGCTCCCATTTGGTTTGTGGGGCTCCTGTGTTCCGTTTCACACTTCGTGACTGTCTTGAGTTTTGAGACCAGCTTGTGGCTGGTTTTGGGACATGAACAGTAGACATGAATGTGACATGGGTTTTCATGCTCCGTGGAAAGGTGGATGTTTTATGTGAATGTTTCCATGTGATAAACGGAACCGTATTTTTTCTTTGTGGTCTCCCCTCCTCTCTTAAGGTGCTTCTGTTTATGTTGCCGTATGCAGTATGCTTGTGTAATTTGTCAATGATAACCTTGTTCTCACATCTGCATTGTTTACTTGTCAAAACAGCATCATAGAATTGAATGTTAAATCTCTGAAAGCATTTGATTGAATTTGCAGGGGAGATCCAATCCCAAACACACTGATAGAGAAGGTTGATGAATACATCCCCAATGATTTTTTTGCAAACTTGCTTGATCTATATGAGGTTTATTCTCTCTCTCTCTCTCTCTCACTCATCACACATGTGAATGCCACACACAATGCATGCTTGTGATGGTACTTCTGCAATCATTTATTATCTATAATTAAGTATTTCTGTTTTGACTCTTCAGGATGCTGATTGCCTGACAAAGGTTAATAAACCTTGGTCCTGGATTCATTCAGATATCATGGATGACAACGTTCACATGGAACCATCTAACTTGATAGGTGATGGTTCCATAAATGGCTATGCTGTTCATAAAAAGGGATCATGGAGTCCCAGTCATATCCTCGATTTCAGTGATTTATCTATAGGTATGTGCTTTTTCTTCATTTCGTGTAACATTGTTTGTCTATTAAATAGTATCAGAAATTTCAAAGAGACCTTAGAAAAGTTATTTTAAAATCTTTATTCATCTTCTCCAGGAGACCCAATTTATGACTTGATACCTATATACTTGGATATCTTTAGAGGTGATTCCCATCTCCTTAAGCAGCTTTTAGAAAGCTATAAACTTCCTTTGGTCAGAGGCATGTTGCGTGGCAAAACAGTAGAGAGTAGCAATGAGCTTGATCGAATTTCATATCGGGCAATGTAAGTAAATTATCTTTAGATTCACTTCTTCCTGCTTCTGTAGTGATCAGATTTATAAGAGTATTTGTTCAAGTCTAGTCATTTGTGGAATAAAATGTAAGAAATATAGACTACCTGCAGTTTTTGTTGCCAAGGTGAAGTCATGCAAATTGGTCTGTTTTTGGTTCTTGATTCGGCTTTTCAGAACTATACAACTCTTTCATCAACATCAACTGCTTTCCAATTTTCCTGTGTCACTTGCAAATTTGAATCTGTATGGAATGATTTTGGAGTTATGAGTGTGGGTAGATATGGTCAATTTTTTTTAACATATGACGCCTTTTGCCCAACTACTTGTGCCAAGGGCTGCTATTGAAAGTGCTTTGAAAATGGTTTGAAAATGGTTTTTAATAAAAATATTTTAAGATAAAAGCTGAATAATGTCCGAAAAAACTTGCATGTTTAATAAATTAAGTTCTAAAATTAATAATAAAAATTGAAATAAAAAATGCACAAAAATAAAAGAACTTAATTATTGTAATTATTTAAATTATTTTATTTTTTTATAAAAAAATTACTCTTAATATTTTAAATTATCTATTTTAATTTAATTATTTTATCCAAAATAAATGTTAATTTTAAATATTATTGTCATTTCTCAGAAGTAT